TATCGTTCTACACCACCCTCTGGAAAACTCCTGCACAGTTATGCTGTAAAGTCATTGCATCATTTCTTCAGAGTCTGAACAGTCTGAGACAAGCCTGTCTCAAGATCTTGTCATAAGGAGAACAGTCAGTGATTCGTTGTCCTCTGCAGCTGCAGTCAGTGGCAGGGCCCCCAAAAATCTAGAACTGGCCCTGGTCAGTGGGCTCAAGGACACTCTCTCTGGAACCTCTGGATCAATGTGGTACAATCAGCAGACACACGTTGTCCTCTGCACAGTAGAAATCCCCAAAAACTGCAGTTCCTCTTCACACCACTGTTGCCTTGACAACAAGGCACAAGCTAAATGTCAAACCTCCTCAGAGATGCGTTCTTTGCACAGTTCTTCTGTTTCTGTAGTGAGCAACATCTCACCAACACACTGATTCAGAGTACAACCCAAAGGTGGCGCACAACTATCCAGTGCTGCTGTAATCACAGCAAATCAGCTACTGAGAAAAACTCAATTTAAATCTCTCCCCCAACGGGTTACAAAATGGCTGAGTGTCTATATGGTCAGGAATGCTGAAACATGTGAATGTTAAAACAAACTAATGGCGGTAGTTTACCCAGATTCTTTACTTCATCAAATGTAGTAAAACTACATTGTAAAATCTCTTTTTTCTACTTGACGTCCTGCTTTTAAATTCAAGTCAGGAAAATACCATAAACATCATCTTTAAAATCTTCTTGAATTTGTAAACAAAAATGTATTCCTTCTCCACCATGATCCCATCCTAACATCAAAGTCCATACAAACGGATAATTTATCTTTAAAAACATGAGGAATGACAGTTCTCATAAAACACTATTCTCTACTTCAGTTCTAAGTCAAATGAGCAAAACAAGGAAACCCTCCTTAACCACCATAGATTCATCTTTTATCTTCTTGCTTATTCTGTTCATTTTCAAATTGTTTATCTAAACTCTGTGTTACAAGCAGGGTTAGTTTGTAACAGAATACAAAACTCTAGGAACAACCAACAACCCTGCATTCTTGGAACGCAATGCCCTAGCAGGACAGTAGGGTATAATGAGTTCTTTAAGGTAAGATGGCGTCTGCCCATTAAGGGCTTTGTAGGCGAGAAGAAGCATTTTAAATTCTATCCTGTGTTCTATAGGGAGCCAGTGTAAGGCAGCCAGAACAGGAGTAATGTGGTCCCTTTTCCTAACTCTGGTTAGTACACGAGCTGCAGCATTTTGAATCAGCTGAAGCCACTTGACTGACTTCTTGGTACACCCTGATAATAAGGAGTTACAATAATCCAGCCTTGAAGTAACAAATGCATGGACTAGTTTCTCTGCATCGTTTTGAGGCAAGATATGCCTGATTTTTGCAATGTTAGGTAGATGGAAGTAGGCGGTCCTTGAAATTGATTTTATGTGGGCGTTAAAGGATAAATCCTGATCAAATATAACACCAAGATTCCTTACAGTCTCAATGAGGCCAAATTAATGCCATCCATAGTTAGTATATCTTTAGATAATTTGTTTTGAAGATTCTTCAGGCCGAGTACAATAACTTCAGTTTTGGTCGTGTTTAACATCAAAAAGTTTAAGGTCATCCACGTTTTAAGTCCTTAAGGCAGTCTTGAATTTTATTTAGATGATTAATTTCATCAGGCTTGATTGATAAATATAGTTGAGTATCATCCGCATAACAATGAAAGTTTACAGAATGATTCCTTATAATATTGCCTAACGGAAGCATATATAATGTGAACAAAATAGGTCCGAGCACTGAGCCCTGTGGCACTCCATGGCTAACTTTGGTTTGCGTGGAATATTCATCGTTAACACGTACAAACTGAGAGCGTTCAGATAGATAGATACTAGGGGTGTAACGGTTCACAAACATTTCGGTTCGGTACGTACCTCGGTTTTTTGGTCACGGTTCGGTTCGGTACGTTTTCGGTACAGCAGAATTTTTTTTCACAAAACAAAACATATATATATATATTTTTTTTTAATTATTATTAAACTGTGAATATTCACTCAAATAAATACAAAATATAATAAAATGAACATTAAGGTGCAGCTTTTCGATGAACTGAAATAATCTGTATTTGAACTGTACTGTACTAGCACCTAAGCAGCCAGTTTGACATTAGGACTTGCTTGTCATTGTATTTTCATGTTTTTTTAAAGAAAAATTAACTTGTCCACATTGCTTGCCGAAAGGGCAGATCTGCTGGCACTAACAATGTCTCCTGCTGTGGAGAACACCCTCTCGCTAGGGACAGAGATACAGCCAGGTAGCACTTTGCTAACATGGCAACATAAGGATACTTGGTGTTTGTAATAGCTTTGGCTCGGTCTGAACTCTCTGCGAGTGGTGGAGGCTTAAATGCTAGCGGGAGTTGGGTTTGCACTTCAGTCTTTTTTCTTTTGGTACCGGTGATATTCACGTTCGGGTGATGCCTTTTCAAGAGTGTGCAAGTTTGATGTATTGCCAGCCACGTAACCAATGTTAGTTGAACAATGCCGACAAACAGCTTTGGTTCGGTCCACCTGTCTTTGCCCGTCATCCTTGTACGTAACTGCGAAACCAAAATGTTCCCAAACCGGAGACTTCAATGATGCTGGAGGATTTTCGAGCTCAACTTTATCTGCGTTCGCCATTAATTTTCGACAGTTCCTCAAATTACTGACTACATTTGAACGCATCCCTCTGACCAGCTCTCATAGTATGCCTCTCATCCAATGAAATGACTTGCTCGCTCTATGACGCGTTGAACCCAATGTGAGCAAATTACTCTGAATGCTGCGACGCAGCACCTGAGATTACTTCCAAAAAGTTGTTCACGTTCTCAATTTTTTACATTTAACGATATATTCGTTCGGTACACTTCGGTACACACCTGTACCGTACCGAACCGAAGGGCCCGAATAATTTCGGTACGGGTACGTGTACCGTTACACCCCTAATAGATACCTAAACCAGCCTAAAGCAGTTCCCTGTATGCCAACTAAGTGCTCTAGTCTTTGCAATAAGATATCATGGTCGATAATATCAAATGCAGCACTGAGATCGAGCAAAACAAGAATAGAGACACGTCCCTTGTCTGAGGCTATTAGAAGGTCATTTGTGACTTTAACCAGAGCTGTCTCTGTGCTATGATGTGTTCTAAAGCCAGACTGAAAAGCTTCAAATAAATCATTGTTTTTTAAGTAATCAACTGTTTTGCGACCGCTTTCTCAAGAATTTTTGAGAGGAACGGAAGATTAGAAATAGGTCTATAATTGGCTAAAACCTCTGGATCGAGGTTGTGCTTTTTAAGAAGCGGTTTTATCACTGCTACTTTGAATGATTGTGGAACATAGCCTGATAATAAAGACATATTCATCATATGTAATAAAGAAGTGCTAATTAATGGAAAAACTTCCTTCAACAGCTTAGTTGGAATTGGGTCTAACATGCACGTTGATGGTTTAGAAGAGAGAATCATTGAATTTAATTGTTCAAGGTTTATGGCTGAAAAGAATTCTAGTTTACTATCTAGTGTAATATTAGAGCTTACATTTCTGGGAGCTGTTGATAACACTATACTGGTCAAAGGCAAGAGGTCATTCATTTTGTTTCTAAGAGTAACAATTTTATCGTTAAAAAAGCACATAAAATCATTACTACTGAGTGCTATGGGAATAGAAGGCTCAATCGAGCTGTGGCTTTCTGTCAGCCTGGCTACAGTGCTGAAAAGAAATCTTGCATTATTCTTATTCTCATCTATTAATGAAGAATAGTAGGCTGCTCTCGCTTTACGCAGTGCTTTCTTATATTCATTGAGAGTAATATGCCAAATTAAACGAGATTCTTCAAGTTTAGTGGAACGCCATATCCTTTCAAGTTGTCTCGACTTTTGCTTTATTTTGCGGGTTTGGGCATTATGCCATGGAGCTAATCTATGTTTTATTTTCTTCTTTTTCAAAGGAGCAACAGAGTCTAATTTTAGACTACGATTACTTACAGGTGAGATACTCTGATTACATACAGGTATACTCTGATTACTTACAGGTGAGATACTCTGATTACATACAGGTATACTCTGATTACTTACAGGTGAGATACTCTGATTACATACAGGTATACTCTGATTACTTACAGGTGAGATACTCTGATTACTTACAGGTGAGATACTCTGATTACATACAGGTATACTCTGATTACTTACAGGTGAGATACATACTGGTGCACTTTGAGAGCAAAATAAAGAGATTAGATATATGGAAATATAACTGTATACATTTGAATAATCATAAGATGATAATAATATGGCCTTAAGCCCAGCACACCATCCAATATGAAAACACATTGAAACTTTTTTATGTTATTATTGTTGGTTCATTGATAGCTGTGAGTCTCCCTCCTCTCAGTAGAGACTAGTTTTAGCTCTCAAGTTTTAAAAGTTGATCTTACCTTATTTCACTTCGTTAAATTTTTTTGTTTTTATTCATGCATATTTGACTAATCACTCTAATCATTTGACTTCCTCAAATGGAAATATGTGTTTACATAAATGGAGCAAACCGTCTGAGACCCACTGAGATAACTTAGACTAAAGTGAACTGTCTAAACCAGGGGGTCAAATCTGTTTTCACCGAGAGCCAGAGAAATATAAGAAGGGCTGGGCCGCTGAGGTATAAGTTCAGTTATACATCAGCATAGTCAATCAGATGTAGGTAAATGATGCTTAATACTTGAATATGCTTTTAAAAACAACAGCAGCTCTCCAGAGGGTTTACTCTGTTGTTAAAACAGAAGCTTCAGATTGAAATGATGAGGAAAGAGGAAGGGTTTAATTCCTTCATTCATTCACGTGTTATGAAAATAAGTTATTGGGCTTTTTTCTTATCAACTAAGATTTGATAGACATTTTTCAACTGGTTCTCTCGCTCTGTTTGAGTCTTTAATGTTCTCACATTGTGCTTGAGTCTTTAAGGTTTTCATGTTGTGTTTTGTTGCAGGTTCGGACCGTACGGGATCCCCATCACCGTGCTCCCCCGGAGAGACGACAGGGTTAGTCGCCCTCTGATGATATCACTGCCTGAAGTGGAAGCATCCACCAAACAGGAAGAGGTTTCACCCCCTCCCCCCCCCAAGGTCCAAACTGCCGCCGCTGTTCCAGGAGGGGGCTCCGTACCCCCCCCCCTCTGTTCCTCAGGGACACCTACAACCAGGCTTTACCTCAGCCCCTGCTGCGGAAGATCCGCCGTCCCAAGAGGCGCTACCGCTGCGAGGAGCCCACCTCCATCATGAACGCCATTAAGCTCCGCCCCCGCCAGGTGCTCTGCGACAAGTGCAAAGGTGTGGTGGGGGGGGGCAGGGAGTCCCGCAGGGGCCCTGTGGAGCTGAAGGAGGAGGCATCGCGGCGGCGGAGAGCTGCTGAAGGACCTGTTTCTGCTGAGGTCAAACGGCTGAGAGGGGACGACAGACGGCCCCCTAACGACAGACGGCCCCCCTCAGGGATCCACGTATCGTCTTCAGCCCTCCCCACTTCCTCCCGGGTCCTGAGGGGCGGAGCCTCCGGCCGCCTGTGTTTGAACTCTAAGAAAGCCCCCCCCTCCAGGGGCCCGGCTGCTGACGTCTCCAAAGCCCGGCAGAACCTGAAGAAGGACCAGGACCAGGACCAGGAGCAGCCCTGCAGGAAGGCAGTGACCCGGGCCTCCTCCCTGCAGAACCAGAGGGTCCACTTCACCCGACGGCTGCAGAGCACTCCCCCCTCACTACCGCCCAGGATGCGGCTCAAACCTCAAAGGTATCGAACAGACGACCAGGTGCCCCCCCCCTCCCAGAACCAGCCCCCCCCTTCCCCCCCCAAACTGATCTCTCGCTCCCCCCCCCACAAACCCATTATAAGCCCCACCCCCACGACTCCCCCTCCCTTCAGCACAGCTCCTCCCCTGGAGCCCCTGCTCTGTGAGGCCCTGTGTCCCCCCCGCTGCTCCTCCCCCCCCTCAGAGTGCAGCTCCACAGAGACCTTTGACCTCCCCCCCCCTGGACCCGCCTTGTTAGACCCGCTTTGCCCCGCCTCCTCGTCCCCTAAGGCCAATGAGACACTAGCTGACGGTGAGGATGAGGGGGGGGATCTGAAGAGGAGGTGTAAGTCCTCTATGTCCCCTCCCCCAGTGGAGGGTGAGGAAGAGGAGGGTGAGATGAAAAGTAGGCATAAGTCCTCCACATCCCCTCCCCCGGTGGAGGGTGAGGAAGAGGAGGGTGAGATGAAGAGGAGGCGTAAGTCGCCCCCCCCTCCCCCGGTGGAGGGTGAGGAAGAGGCGGGTGAGATGAAGAGGAGGCATAAGTCTTCCACGTCCCCTTCCCCGGTGGAGGGTGAGGAAGAGGAAGGTGAGATGAAGAGGAGGCGTAAGTCGTCCACCTCTTCCTCCTCCTCCTCCTCCTCTTCCTCCCCCCCGGTGTTCTCTAAGCCCGTCTCGAAGGTGCTCCTCCCCGACGGGCGCTCGCTGTGTTTGGGCGACATCGTGTGGGCGAAGATCTCTGGGTTCCCCTGGTGGCCGGCGAGGGTACTGAGCATCACGGTGTCTCGCCGCAGTGACACGGGGCTGGCTGTCCGTCAGGAGGCCAGGGTGTCGTGGTTCGGCTCCCCCACCACCTCCTTCCTCCCCCTCACCCAGCTGTCTCCCTTCCTGGAGAGCTTCCAGTGTCGCTTTGACAGGAAGAGGAAGGGTCCGTACCGCCGGGCCATCGCTGAGGCCGCCAGCGCCGCCAAGCAGCTGACGCCCGAAGTCCGGGCGCTGCTCACTCAGTTCGAGACGTAGCATCCCCCCCGACTCTAAACAACTACCCCCCCACACAACTACCCCCCCCACACAACTACCCCCCGACTCTAAATAACTACCCCCCGACTCTAAACAACTAGCCACCTACACAATAGGGCTGTCCCGAATACCATTTTTCGGGCGCCGGATATTCGGTAGTAATCAGCAGCGAATATTCGGTGCGGAGAGATTTATTTATTTTCCAAAAGGTTTCATAACACGCTCCGAATCCGAGACACCTGACGACACGCTGTTAAGCAGAAGCGCAGAAAGAGCATACTATTACGATTTATATTTATTTATTGTCTCAGTACTCGCATACATTAAAACTAAATGTGTCCTCTGCATTTAACCCAGCCGCAGCGCGGGGAACAAATCCGGTTCCAAATTCCATCTATAACGTTTTACAACCTGAAGATACAAAACACATATTTCTGTTAACAACAATACTTTTAAAGAGACAACTACCCCTCGACAAGAAACACAACTACCCCTCGACAACAAACACAACTACCCCTCGACAAGAAACACAACTACCCCTCGACAACAAACTCAACTACCCCTCGACAACAAACACAACTACCCCTCGACAACAAACACAACTACCCCTCGACAACAAACACAACTACCCTCGACAACAAACACAACTACCCCCGACAACAAACACAACTACCCCTCGACAACAAACACAACTACCCCTCGACAACAAACACAACTACCCCTCGACAACAAACACAACTACCCCTCGACAACAAACACAACTACCCCTCGACAACAAACACAACTACCCCTCGACAACAAACACAACTACCCCTCGACAACAAACACAACTACCCCCCGACAACAAACACAACTACCCCCGACAACAAACACAACTACCCCCCGACAAGTAACACAACTACCCCCGACAAGTAACACAACTACCCCCGACAAGAAACACAACTACCCCCGACAACTACCCCCCGACAAGAAACACAACTACCCCCCGACAAGAAACACAACTACCCCCCTGTCACACTGCTTCCTGTTCAGTGGGCAGTGGGCGTGGCTTCTCGTGTGGGCGGGGCCTCCATCTCAGGTGTCAGTCAGTGGCAGCGTTTAAAGAGGCACTGTCCAGGTGCATCATGGGAAACAAGGTCTGGTGTGTCATGTGTTTATTATTAGTCCTGGAGGGGCAGCTGGTTGGCTGGCAGCACGATGATGTCATACATTTACATATGTAATGATAACACTAATTAAGATGGAGGGGTATGTAAACATTTAGAGAATAATGTGGACTGTTAAGGGGGGATTACTCTCAATGTGAGTCTTTACCTTATTGCTGCGTTCTGATTGGACGCTGCACGGTGTGAAACGCTGTCACTTCTGTTTCTCTTCCTGAAAGTTAAACTGTGATAAACGGTAAACGTGTTGTTCAAGCTGAGGCCGGGGGGCCCTCAGGGGCCGCACAGGTAGGCCTTACTGAGCGTTAGAGGCTGATGAAGACGAGGAGGACAATGGTTTCCTGTCTGTTTGCAGATCAGAGACACTGTGGGACAGACGGAGACGTTGTACTTGATTAAAGCCGCTGTATGTTTTTCTGATGTTTTAAATCTATTAAAAACTGTCAAAATCAACCCTTCTTCTTCTGTGGTGCTTTCACTGTCAGACAGGTTTCTCACCTGCAAACAGATGATGGTAAACGCTCCTGAACGCCAGCGTCTGATAGGCCGCTGCTCTTCCACACTTCAGAGCAGTACAACTATTAAAGGAAATACATTTATTTATATTATGGTATTTATTGGCTGTCTCTCTCTCTGCAGCGCGACGCTGACGAGCTGCTGACAATCCTGCGCTGTGATTGGCTGAGAGGCGGGGTCACGTGGACATCCACTTTTGATAACAATAATATATTTAAGAGTTATATTTATAAAAAGCTTTTATCAATGAGGTTTCCATGGAGATCAACATGTTTCAATGTCCAATCAACATTCAGATCATTAATCAGTTTCCTGTCCATCCTGCAGGGGGCAGCAACGAGTCAAAACTAGAACCTGAACGCAGCTTCACAAGCCACTGTTAGCTTAGAACAAAGACTGGCAGCAGAGGGAAATTGATAGCATAGCTTAGCACAAAGACTGGCAGCAAAGGGAAACTGATAGCATAGCTTAGCACAAAGACTGGAAACAGAGATAAACTGTTAGCATAGCTTAGCACAATGACTGGCATCGGAGAGAAACTGTTAGCATAGCCAAGCACAAAGACTGGAAACAGAGAGAAACTATTAGCATAGTTTAGCACAAAGACTGGCATCAGAGAGAAACTATTAGCATAGCTTAGCACAAAGACTGGCAGCAGAGGGAAACTGATAGCATAGCTTAGCACAAAGACTGGCAGCAGAGGGAAACTGATAGCTTAGCACAAAGACTGGCAGCAGAGGGAAACTGATAGCATAGCTTAGTACAAAGACTGGCAGCAGAGGGAAACTGATAGCATAGCTTAGCACAAAGACTGGCATCAGAGGGAAACTGATAGCATAGCTTAGCACAAAGCCTGGCATCAGAAGGAAACTGATAGCATAGCTTAGCACAAATACTGGCATCAGAAGGAAACTTATAGCTTAGCACAAAGACTGATAGCATAGCTTAGCAAAAAGACTGGAATCAGAGAGAAACTGATAGCATTGCTTAGCACAAAGACTCAGAGGGAAACTTATAGCTTAGCACAAAGACTGATAGCATAGCTTAGCACAAAGACTGGCAGCAGAGGGAAACTGATAGCATAGCTTATCACAAAGACTGGCATCAGAGGGAAACTTATAGCTTAGCACAAAGACTGATAGCATAGCTTAGCACAAAGACTGGCAGCAGAGGAAAACTGATAGCATAGCTTAGCACAAAGACGAATCAGAGAGAAACTGTGGATATTTGTTTTAAAGGTTAATTAAAATGATAGGACTGATTTCAATTTAAAATTGTAATGTCTTCATTTAATCTGACCTCCACCAGACGTCAGTAAATAAAATATATAAACATTAACTATGAACAGTGACTTCGCTCCTGCAGGTTTTTAAAGGTTTAAGATGTATTTCTCTGATCTGAACATTATGCAACTGTGACAGATATAATAATGATTATAAGTATTACTGTAAGGTGTACAGACTGCAGAGGATTCAAAATAAACGGCATGTGTTAAAACAGTTTGGTTATTAGATTATTGACCAGAATATTGACTCTTTAAAGTACAGACACTACATACTGATATACACCTGAACATCAGCAGGAGAGGACTCTTTAAAGTAGAGACACTACATACTGATATACACCTGAACATCAGCAGGAGAGGACTCTTTAAAATAGAGACACTACATACTGATATACACCTGAACATCAGCAGGAGAGGACTCTTTAAAGTAGAGACACTACATACTGATATACACCTGAACATCAGCAGGAGAGGACTCTTTTAAGTAGAGACACTACATACTGATATACACCTGAACATCAGCAGGAGAGGACTCTTTAAAGTAGATACACTATATACTGATATACACCTGAACATCAGCAGGAGAGGACTCTTTAAAGTAGAGACACTACATACTGATGTACACCTGAACATCAGCAGGAGAGGACTCTTTAAAGTAGAGACACTACATACTGATATACACCTGAACATCAGCAGGAGAGGACTCTTTAAAGTAGAGACACTACATACTGATGTACACCTGAACATCAGCAGGAGAGGACTCTTTAATGTAGAGAAACTGCACACTGATATACACCTGAACATCAGCAGGAGAGGACTCTTTAAAGTAGAGACACTACACTGATATACACCTGAACATCAGCAGGAGAGGACTCTTTAAAGTAGAGACACTACATACTGATATACCCCTGAACAGCAGCAGGAGAGGACTCTTTAAAATAGAGACACTACATACTGATACACCTGAACATCAGCAGGAGAGGACTCTTTAAAGTAGAGTCACTACATACTGATATACACCTGAACATCAGCAGGAGAGGACTCTTTAAGTAGAGACACTACATACTGATATACACCTGAACATCAGCAGGAGAGAACTCTTTAAAAGTAGAGCCACTACATACTGATATACACCTGAACAGCAGCAGGAGAGGACTCTTTAAAGTAGAGACACTACATACTGATATACACCTGAACATCAGCAGGAGAGGACTCTTTAAAGTAGAGACACTACATACTGATATACACCTGAACATCAGCAGGAGAGGACTCTTTAAAGTAGAGACACTACATACTGATATACACCCTGAACATCAGCAGGAGAGGACTCTTTAAAGTAGAGACACTACATACTGATATACACCTGAACATCAGCAAGAGAGGACTATTTAAAGCAGAGACACTACATACTGATATACACCTGAACATCAGCAGGAGAGGACTCTTTAAAGTAGAGACACTACATACTGATATACACCTGAACAGCAGCAGGAGAGGGACTCTTTAAAGTAGAGACACTACATACTGATATACACCTGAACAGCAGCAGGAGAGGACTCTTTAAAGTAGAGACACTACATACGGATATACACATGAACAGCAGCAGGAGAGGACTCTTTAAAGTAGAGACACTACATACTGATATACACCTGAACATCAGCAGGAGAGAACTCTTTAAAGTAGAGACACTACATACTGATATACACCTGAACATCAGCAGGAGAGGACTCTTTAAAGTAGAGACACTACATACTGATATACACCTGAACATCATCAGGAGAGGACTCTTTAAAGTAGAGACACTACATACTGATATACACCTGAACATCAGCAGGAGAGGACTCTTTAAAGTAGAGACACTACATACTGATACACACCTGAACATCAGCAGGAGTAAAAGTGCTAAAGTAAAAGTGCTAAAGTAAAAGTAAAAGTGCTTAAGTAAAAGTGCTTAAGTAAAAGTAAAAGTGTTAAAGTAAAAGTGCTAAAGTAAAAGTGCTTAAGTAAAAGTAAAAGTGTTAAAGTAAAAGTGCTAAAGTAAAAGTGCTTAAGTAAAAGTAAAAGTTCTAAAGTGAAAGTAAATGTGCTAAAGTAAAAGTAAAAGTGCTTAAGTAAAAGTGCTTAAGTAAAAGTAAAAGTGTTAAAGTAAAAGTGCTAAAGTAAAAGTGCTTAATTAAAAGTAAAAGTGCTAAAGTAAAAGTGCTAAAGTAAAAGTGGAGACACTACATACTGATATACACCTGAACATCAGCAGGAGAGGACTCTTTAAAGTAGAGACACTACATACTGAACATCAGCAGGAGAGGACTCTTTAAATTAGAGACACTACATACTGATATACACCTGAACATCAGCAGGAGAGGACTCTTTAAAGTAGAGACACTACATACTGATATACACCTGAACAGCAGCAGGAGAGGACTCTTTAAAGTAGAGACACTACATACGGATATACACCTGAATATCAGCAGGAGAGGACTCTTTAAAGTAGAGACACTACATACTGATATACACCTGAACAGCAGCAGGAGAGGACTCTTTAAAGTAGAGACACTACATACTGATATACACCTGAACATCAGCAGGAGAGAACTCTTTAAAGTAGAGACACTACATACTGATATACACCTGAACATCAGCAGGAGAGGACTCTTTAAAGTAGAGACACTACATACTGATATACACCTGAACATCATCAGGAGAGGACTCTTTAAAGTAGATACACTACATACTGATATACACCTGAACATCAGCAGGAGAGGACTCTTTAAAGTAGAGACACTACATACTGATGTACACCTGAACATCAGCAGGAGAGGACTCTTTAAAGTAGAGACACTACATACTGATATACACCTGAACATCAGCAAGAGAGGACTCTTTAAAGTAGAGACACTACAGACTGATATACACCTGAACATCAGCAGGAGAGGATTCTTTAAAGTAGAGACACTACATACTGATATACACCTGAACATCAGCAGGAGAGGACTCTTTAAAGTAGAGACACCACATACTGATATACACCTGAACATCAGCAGGAGAGAACTCTTTAAAGTAGAGACACTACATACTGATGTACACCTGAACATCAGCAGGAGAGGACTCTTTAATGTAGAGAAACTGCACACTGATATACACCTGAACATCAGCAGGAGAGGACTCTTTAAAGTAGAGACACTACACTGATATACACCTGAACATCAGCAGGAGAGGACTCTTTAAAGTAGAGACACTACATACTGATATACCCCTGAACAGCAGCAGGAGAGGACTCTTTAAAGTAGAGACACTACATACTGATACACCTGAACATCAGCAGGAGAGGACTCTTTAAAGTAGAGTCACTACATACTGATATACACCTGAACTTCAGCAGGAGAGGACTCTTTAAAGTAGAGACACTACATACTGATATACCCCTGAACAGCAGCAGGAGAGGACTCTTTAAAGTAGAGACACTACATACTGATATACACCTGAACATCAGCAGGAGAGGACTCTTTAAAGTAGAGACACTACATACTGAACATCAGCAGGAGAGGACTCTTTAAAGTAGAGACACTACATACTGATATACACCTGAACATCAGCAGGAGAGGACTCTTTAAGTAGAGACACTACATACTGATATACACCTGAACATCAGCAG